TGTAAGCAAAATCTTAATAGGTCAATATAACCCTTCTAATTAAATGTATTATTACTGTTTTTCTGTAGTGACAAATTTGGGGAGAGGACAACTATTCCAAAACTTTCTGAAAATACAATATGAGAATTAACTGCGCAATTACTAGAAATGTGTACCTTGGATATTATAACATTTGCATCCATACACATTTTTTGGAAAAAGACCAATTTTTTTCCAAGACGTTTTTAACTCTGACTTTGACTTTGGACCAATTCTGTAGAATGGCTAATTAACAGTGTTGGTTTTTACTTCTCATGATTGAAATGTGTTAACAGGTGTTATTCATCATAAGATTTATACATTTGCTTTATTGTATTTTATTTTATTTTATACATTATCCATATAATGTGTATACTTTTATTTTATGTTTTATTTATTTATAAAGGAATATGAAAGGAGTGGGCAATCAAGCAGTTCCATATCTCCCAAGAAGTATGTAAAAAGGAACCTGGACTTTGAGCCACTTTCAACCACAGCCCTTATACTGGAGAACCGCCCAGCGTAAGTGTTTTTGTACTCTCTCATGAAACCTCTCATTCCTGTATGATGGGTAGAAAAAAAAACAGAGATAAAATAAAAAAAATAAAACCACTTCCATCTTGCATGCAATGTTATGCCATGCAGCACAGTTGATATTGTGTGCTAGTATAATTTAAAGCATAGGGAATATGGAATAATAAAGGATTTATAGATGTAAAGTGTTTCAAAATGTTTTCTCAGACAGAAATGTATACGTCTATTGACTAATTGTGTACCTGTCTGTAGGAATCTTCCTGCAAAGCCTGAGGAAGAAGCCCAGAAACACAGACAAGAATATGAGGAGATGGTGGCTCAGGCCAAGAAGAGAGGTGACTTTCTTTTCACGCATTTGTTTGTGTATATGGGTCCAGTTTTGTGTGCTCTAGAGGGCGCTGTTACAAAAGCTGAAATTAAATCCTGTTGAAACAGATTTCCATTTCACTGCCATTCCTCCTCTCTCTCTCTCACTGCGTGTGTATTTGTTTCTGTGCAGAGCTGAAAGAGGCCCAGAAACGGAAAAAACAACTAGAGGACAGGTGTAAAC